AATCACGATTATTTTCTCTGCGCAATCACGATTATTTATGGTATTACCTTCGTTCAAAGTGGTAAATAAATGGTAAATAACGATAATCGAGGTTATATTTGAACATTTTTATAAGTTCAAACCTAAGGAAAATTAATTGAATTATTACAAATATTACAAGGAAAATGAACTATGAAAATATAACAATGATACTTTCAAATAATTTATTAAAATGTAGCAGTCCATATTAGAAACAAAATAACGGGAAATTGTGATATAATTTAATACATCCATACATAATAAAGCTGATAAGTTGTTATCACTATAAATATATATATCACGAAAAAAATTTCATCAACCCCCTTTTTTTTTATTGGAGCACAAAAGTTTTGTACCAAGTAACTTTAATGATGCAATCAAAAAAGGTTAAAAAAAAAAAAATATTATTTAATGGCGAAGTAAACTATTTTGAGATTCATTGATGAGTAATGCATGCATTCTTTGAATCCCTTGCATGCAAATGTAATCACCATTTAGTTCACTTAATTGTATTATGTAGATTAGTAGTAGTAGATCTGTGAGACAAAATAAAGTAGATTTTAAAAATAAAAAATTTATATTTGATTTTGTAAAGAAATTCGCGATACAACTTCTAAAATTCTATTTTTTTTTTAAAAAAAAAAAAAGTTTAGATAAACAATATTTATGAGAAATAAAAAAAAAAGTAGTAATTTGCCTAGTTTATATTAAACAATTTCTTGATACAATGAGATAGTACTATGCTTGATGGCCTGCATTAGGATTTTTTTTTTTTGGCCTGCATAAATTTATAATTATTTCCTGCCACAGAGTCGGAACAACGTTATCACTCCGTTATATTATTATTTATATTATTTTATATTGATGCTGCAAAAATGACTGTTAGTACATATTACATATAGAACTTCAGTAATCGAACATGATTAATTATTTTTTTGATAATACAAAAATTTTTATTTTAAAAAAATATTCAAGATTTATTAAATTTTAAGTCATGAATGAATACACAAAAATTAAAATAAAGAAATTAATAAAGTTCAGAAACTTTTCCTTTGACTCTGTAATTGAAATAAATGATTGAACTAAATTTAAAATATTGAGAATAAACTAATAAAAGAGTTGAATTATCGGTTTGCGTTTCTTTTTATTAATATCTCTTTACTTTTAATTAACGTAATATGAATAGTTTGTTATTATTCTACTCTCTTAATCAATGTAATAGGAATAATTGGCTACTTTACTCTCTTAATTTACGTAGTAGGAGTAGTTAGCTCTTAATTTACATAATAAGAGTAATTGGCTGAATGAAATATTCTTTACTTTAATAAGTATTTAACTAAAGTAAAGTCATGGATTCCTTGTTTTATTATCCGTTTTCTGCTGATTTAGTTAGCCATTTCAAAGCTTCATTAATATTCCAAATTACAATCATTTATTTTCTTAATAATCTTGAATTAAAATTTAAAAATTAATGTCTTTTGTTACTACGTTCTGGACAATATCCTTGCATAATAATTGGAAAGAGGAGAGGGATGGGAAATGGGAAATGAAGGAAAGAGCGAGGAATAAGGGAAAGGAAAGAGGGAACGTAAATAAAATTAAATTAAGAATAAAGATAATAAAATGCAAGAACTGGACAATAAATAATCATAATAATTTATAATATTGTGAATAAGAAGAATAAGACTATGAGTTGCATTAATTGGAAGTAAAATAAAATAAATTTTAAAGATAATAATATGGAATGCAAGAATCATTGTCCTTATGCATAGCTCTGGACAATGGATTCTTGCATAATAATTAGAGTGAATAAACGAAATAATTTAAAATGCAAGAACCATCGACCTATGAATAATTTGGGAAATGATTCTTGCATAATAATTAGCGTTTTGATTATGATTCATAGGTTTGTAATGAACCATGGTTATTCTTTATATAATTTTTTTATTAGAAAAGAATAATAATAAAGAAAATTTTGATTAAATAAAGAATAATGATAATGAATAGATAATGATGAGGATGAAATGCTAATGGGATACTTTATTTTTCGTGTAAATGCATTTTTATTTTTATTTTGTTTTGCGAATGTCAGTAAAAATAAATAGAATATATAGATAATGAAAAATTTGTAGTTTAGAAATGATTTGATGTTTTTGTTTTTTTTTTGGTTTTTATATTTTTTAATAAAAAAATGAAATCCCTTTTAATTTTTCGTTGAGAAAATTTAAACCCTTTTTATAAATAAAAATATTTTATAATTACGTGACTCGTTCGAGCGCTAAATAAATGGTGCCGTTTTAATAAAACAACCAATTACTAAATATAGCATATAATAATTAAAAAGCATAAAAATAGTGAGGATCGTTGTCTGACTATTGAAAAAAAAAATGCAAGATAACACAATATTACATGAAACTTAGTTATTGTTTGAATTACATTAAAATTTATTAATTGTTTTGAATAACATAAAATTTATTTATTGTTTTGAATGAAAGGAAATTTCTTTTACATAATATTAAAAATAAATGCTATGAATTGTTTATTCTTATCTTATTTATGTAACATTAGAATTTTATTTTAACACGAAACATTACATTTTTTTGTTAAAAATTAAGGAATAGCTATACGTAATTGATTTATTGATTTTATATTGACAAAAAAAAAGTCTTTGTAAAAAAAAAGAAAGAAAAATGCACGGTGCGTTATGACGCACCAATGATGTGTAATTCTTCTTGACGGGTTTAACTCCGACAAGAATAACTTAATATGATATTAAACTTTTAGTACTACATGATTGTGCATAATCAAAAAATATGAGTATCAAATTTAGTATTTCATTGCTTCTCAGCCTTAATATACTTCAATTTTACAAAATTCTTTGAAATGTTCAATCAAGAGAGAATCTGGCTTTATTCAGCATAAACATATGCATAATGATATTATACATATGAGTTTCAGTTCACTTTCAAATATCATTATATCACAACATCACTTCCAAAATAATTCACGTGATTAAGAATATTAATTTCAAACCTTATTACTTTTCTGAAAAAACTGCTCGGAATTGGATCCTTAAGGAAACTCATAGTGGGTTACGCCCACAACTTTAACTAATTTAGAAATCCAAATGGACGTTTCTGAAATGATCCAGAGACAAGGCAGATCAGATTTTTGGATCTTTGTGTATAAGTTCTAAGGTGATTCGTTGAGGATTTTAGGTTTGGTGAGTATTTAGTTTCGGAACTTTCTGAGGGCTTACTAGCTTTTACCTCCGTTAGATGGAAAGATTATAGGTTTCTATAAAGCCAAATTTTTTAAAAAAAAACCAATATGGCTCAAACAACCGGAATATTTTGTTTCAATTCACAAGAATATTATCATGCGAAGCGCCAAACGCCTGTCATAATTGAACATCGAAGAATCTTAGAATTCTCCAAAAAGGATAAAAAGAAGGAAAAGAAATCGAAAGACGCTAACAAAATCAAAGTATCTAGGAATAATCGAAGTTGAGCCGCTTTTATAAAATTTTAAATTCTTAAAAATACATACGTTTTTATTAAAAAAAGTTATTGTCAAAGTGATTAATTCCTGAAGATTAGGTGTGACTAGCAGCAACTAATATTTGAAAATATAAAAATTATAATATATTTATCAAAATAATAATATTTATTAAAACATATAAATCATTTATTAATAAAATTATTATGTATTTCGGGTAAAATATTTGGTAATTTTATCGATAATAATGTAAAGAGATTTTAAATTTATGGATAGATCTTTACGCGTGTCACTAGCACCTGATCGATTTTTTGAACGAGTCGATTACGAATTTGTCTAAGTCGCAAAAATTAAAACATAAATGAAGTTTGTAAATTGATTGAAAATTCGAACTTTCAGTCAAATAATATCGGTGGGTGGACGAAACTTTTTCTTCATGACAAGGAGGGAAAACTCTGTGAATTTTTATAAGATCAAAATTTTAGTTCGTTAAAAAGTCGCAGTAATTAATTATTAGAAGTTCTACAAACATAATGTAGTTAGCCGAAAAACGGACCGATCATCCGGACCCGGTTTAATCGCAGAAAATCCACTGGAATTCCACGACGATCTACGCCTGAGCCAGGTCCGGATCACGTTACGGCTAATTATTTTTCGGCTAACTACACCATTATTCGACAAAGCTGTTGAAAAATATTTGAAGCAAAATGATCAACAAAAGAATCGGGGATTACTGAAATTGTGTTACAAATTATTGTATTAATAAAATTTATTTTATTATTAACAATTTTTAGTTAGAAAAATAGATCATTTTTTTAAAATTATAAAATTCCATTAAATTTTCATTAACCTGAACTGGATTAGTCACAAAAATCTTTCATGGAATTATTTTCATCACGTTTTATCACATGTCACAACCAAGATTCCCTGATTATTGTCTCTTTGAAATAATATTTTTCTTTTTCTATTATGCAATAAATATAGCATGATTGGAGAGATGAAGCAAATGAAACATGCAAGTAAACTGAAGAGTTCTGAATTGGGAAAAAAAAATCTTTTATGTTTATTGTAATTGTTATACTATTATTACTATTTAAATGCAATTGTTATACTATTTACAGTAATATGTTTTGTCACATTTCGCAATTGTCACTTCTATGTGTACATACAGTACGTATATTAAAAATATTATAATTTTTGTTAATAATAACAGTTAATAATTAACAGTATAAAAATGACCTGGTCTAGATTAAGATTCCCTGATTGTTGCCCCTTGAAATAAATATTTTTATTTAATAAATATAAATTAAGATAGCGTGATTGGAGATAAAAGCATGCGAGTAAACTGAAAGGAAGATCTGAATCAAAAATAACTATACGTATTTTTAATTATTATATCCTATCATTTAATTTAAAAATTTATTAATTAGTAATATAAATTAATTTATTTAAAACTTCAGCCCCCTCCCCTCCCTTTTCTCTTTGATGATTTTCCCTTTCTTTTTTAAAAAAAAATTCACCTTTAAATAATGATAATAATAAGTACATAAATAGTTTGGTTGTTAGCCGTTATAATAAATAAAAGTGGAAATTTATCCTTTTTTTGATAAAACATTATAATTATGCGGATAATAATATAAAAAACCATTTTGTAAAAAAATAATAATAATATATATTTCAGTTTTTATAACTCCGGAATTTTTTTTCCACTAATGAAATAATAAAGTTCCTTTTTTGTTTATGATGAAAGAGAAAAAGTAACGTCCTATCGTTATTACCGTTATTGAGAAAATAAAAAATTAATAATCAACAATCAAAAAAATTAAATTTTCAACCATATACCTATATATACCTATATATATTTTTTATTTTTTTTTTTAAAAAAAACCAACATAATGGAAACACTTTGCAATGAATTGAAAGTCGAAATCTTCCGATATGTATTAACACCAATTGCCCTAGTTCTTCTTAATCGTAACTGGTACTCTACTTCCCAAGACCCCCACGCTCGAGCAGAATGGATTATTTACAAATATGGTAGAGCTCATGCTCTCTTTCACGCCATCAGACTAGGGAATCATTTCGTGACAGTAGAAGTTGTGCAAATTTTACTAGCTAAAAAGGCGATAATTTCAAGATATTTTATGCAACGATTAATGATCCAATTCGGTACCTACGATCCGAAGTTGATTGAGATGAGGTCGAGGTATAATATCAACACAGATATACCAAAAGAAAAACCGTGGGCAAGCGAACTACCGTTGCCAATATTCATAAAATTACTCGCGGAGGCATCTAATGAGCTAGATGATATCGCTATCAGAGGGAACGATTTAGAATTGTTTCATTATTTGACGGCCGGAGCTCTCACAATAAACCAAGCGCCAGCCGTCCTTTTAGAAAATCTCAAAAATATTGAAGATTTAATTTTAAATAAAAAATTTATACCCTTCCCACCTCGACCAAAAGACACCCCAGCATACAAATCACCATCCGGAGGTGCAACTGAGAATTATCCATCAAGAGATGGTTATGAGAACAACCGTCAAGTAAATTTAATATCAAGGGCGATTTTAATCCACCCGGATCTAGTTATATTGTGGAAAAAAATAGGATATAATGAAATCTGTAGTGATTTTAATGAACTAGTCGTAGAGGGCACCTTGCTCGTGTGTTTCCCCCCAAGTCCACCGAATAATTGGGTATGCCCAAGTACTGAAATTATAATTGAAAAATTACAGAAATTATTTAAACTCGGGTTTCGACTAACCGATAAAATTATAGAAGACTCCATTAAATTGTTCGAATCACGAATAAACGTTGTAGGGGAGTCTTTATTAAATTCGTTTAATAAACTTCAAGGAGATTCAACACCGCCAATAGTTGAATCAACATTAATTGAAATTAGGAAACCAGTAAAAAAGACCAGGAAAAGGCAGCGAAGAACATAAGAAAATTATTATTTTTTTTTTATTATTTTGTTTATTTTGTTATCTTTATTTTTTAAGATTATTTTATATTATTAAATTGTTTATATGTAAAAATATTAAAATTTTTAGAGTAAATAAAAAAATTTTTTAAGCGTTATTCATACAACAGTTATTCATTTCTCAAGAACAAAAGAATTGTTTTTTTTTATCTCTAAAAAAAAAAAAATATTAAAAATATTAAAATAATAAAAGTTGATCAACAAAATTATATCATTCTTTTTTTTACCAGATGAATTGTTCTTTGATTAATAAAGTCAAAAACATAAAAGTTACATTAAATGTAAATAGTAAATTAAATAATTTTATTACATAAAAATTGGAAGTCAAATAACTGAATTACTGAATCGTTTATTACTATCACTGTTTATTACTAACGTTGTTATGAATTAATAAAATAAAGAAGTTTTGAGTTTAAAGAGAGGAATTTCTCCAGCCCTAATAAAATGAGAAGGTACTTAATAAAATTACTAATAGTCTGAATCTACTATGCATAGAAATAATTATGAAAGTATTGTCAAAAAAACACAATTGGTATATATATGTACATATACAGTAAATAAATCAATAATTATATTTTAATACCTTATACGCAGATCAGATTCCAAAATGATAAAAAATCATAATAAATTTGCTCCATTAATAAAAATAATAATGATAGGGCCGATCTTATCCGGATTGGCAATTAAAACAAATAATATAAAAAAAATTCTTGTTTTATGGACTATCTTTGCTAAAGTATTAGAGTATTAGTGTGGTAGCGGATCTGTTGAACTCCGCTTAACAAAATTAACTCAGAAAATTTACTCTATCAACATAAAAACAAAATAATTTTAAAAATACAAATAATCTAATAAAAATTAACTCAATTTTTTATCAACATTTACTATAAGATTCATTCAAATTGAAATTATAATTATAGTAAAGCCTTTATCCAACAATTGAGAGGTTAAAAGATAAAGAAATGTTAGAAACAATTTCTATTTTTTTTTTTTAAAAAAAAAAATAAATAAAAAGTATTAACAACTTTTTAATATCTATTATTCAATTTGTTCATTCTTCTGTCCCTTCATTTTTACTGCTATAGAATATAAAATAAAAAAATTATTAGAGGGTAAAAACTAATTAACAAAATATAAAATGAGAAAAAGAGTAATGAACTTACTTTCCTTTATCCATCTTAAAAGATTTTTAGAAATGAGAATACAAACAAGAAAAACCAAAAGAATTAAACATTTGAATTAATAAAAAGTGAGGGAATAGGATCAAATATGAAATAAATTTACTCTTTGACCTTTTATTTTTCAAGCTGTGAAGAAATGTGTTGTAGACATATTGTTTAAATTTAACTGGTAAATTAATTAACCAGTTTTTTTTTTATATAAATGAATTGTTTTTAAAAAAAATTTGATACAAGATATTTATATTTATATTAGTTATGCAACACAAAAGCCCTACTTATAAGATCCCGTGACTTTCATATAAGTCACGTGCGACGAAAAAAAAATTAGCTACAAAACTTTTCTTGTAATTTGTAAATTTTGAGGCATAGTTATGAAGTCATTATTTGCACCGATGGGAGATGCATTGATTAAGCATGATCATAAATATCAGGAAAAATATAAATTATTGGAACAAATTATTTATCACTAATTGTAAGGATATAACAGTATTTAATTGGACAATGGCATTAACTTTAAAATCAGCATGATCTTTAATAGGCTGATACAATTAATTATAATTTACTTTTCTACAAAGCCTACACCAATAGCAAACGGGAATATTCCATAAAGCAATTCGATAAGAGAATCACGGGAACTGACAAAAATCTTTAAGAAATATAAATTTGAAAGACATCAATTGGCATTCTGACGGGATAACAAACTTCATTACATTTTTTATTTAATATTTGAAATAAGACATTTTACATAAAGTAATGTTATTGCCTGAAACGAATATATAAATTCTACTAGAGGCTTGTGTTTTCGCATTTGTTGTTGAGTGGTTTCTTCTTTAGTCAATGTGGAATAATTCGCAATATATTCCTTAAAATTATACAATAAATAAAGTATTAAAAAAAAATAATAATAATATGAAACAATAACTAATGATTTAATTTACAAAAAAAAAAAAATTACCTCAGACATTTCGTTCAGACGCAAGGATTTTCAATTTCGAATGTTTCATTTTTCAAAATTAAATGTTTTGTACGCAACTCTTGAACTGTTCATCTTCATAATACTCAGCAATTTGCAATGAATTGTTCATTATCTTTGAGCAATGCTTAGATAATGCTTTGATCAATTGTTTAAAAATTCTAGTAAATAAAATGCGTAAAATTTTCGCAAGCTTCTGTGCAAAGAATCGCCCACAACTTAAGATACTGGTACATTCTTAACCTTATGCTGATCATCTGCTGAGATAAAACATGCACAATCCCGGTGTTTGGTCATCTTCACTGAATTTTCGTAACAATCGAAATTGTACTTTATATTTTACATTAAAACGCCCAGTGTACTGCATAGCCTTGGTAGTGGCGTTGGATGGTGAAAATTCGACCTTATCCAATCTTCTGATGGAATAAAAATATCACTTGGTAGAGGAGGTCCTTTATTTAGGCGAGTAATAATTCTGTCTCGTAACCCTCGAATAGATATAGATAGAGTAGCATCTGTTCGAAGTTCATTAACAACTGTATTATTATGCTAAAATATAATTACTAAATTTAATAAATGTTTTATTAGAAATCAGGAAATCTAAATTGTGAATTATATATAATACCTTATTAAAATATCCATCAAGTTCGTCCCAAAGTATATCAAATTTTGACCCTTGGAATCCACTAATAGTCCTTAAGTCAATTATTATAGAAGGTTCTAATAGCATCATAAGACGTAACCTTTCTTCCGTCTCTTTACTCATTTGATCATTTGCCAATGAAGCATCGCCAGTTATATCATGATATAGCATTCTAAGTACTGGCTTTGAAAGATTACAAACTAGATAATACTACAAAAAAAGTGTAATAAGTTTTTAATTAACAAAAATATATAATCATGTTCATTATACCATTACCTTTTGAAACTCACTTGTCTTGTATAACATATTGGTAATTATGTTATTGATGCGAGTATCTGTGCTTTAGGAGATTCATAATCATTAATTTTTTAAGTATCATATAAAATTTAGCGTTCCAAGACAATTGCCATGAGGATATCTATAATAAGTAAATGTTTTCAACATCAATCGTTTCATCATAATGCAAACATCCACGCACTAACACACATGATTGCAAATATAAAATTTAAAAAAAGTAAGAATCTTACCTATATAATCCTGCAGGTACAGATAATTGAATATCACGAATAAAATTAAATTATGTTTCTTTACAAGATCATTTGGTATATAAAGATCAAGATCAACAAAGTCGAATAATTCTTTATTTGTAAGATCGGAATCTTAACTATGACAATTTCCTCGTCATTATAAGCTGAACATTATGATTCACGTACTGGATTTTCAAGGTCTTCATATTATTAGTAGTTCAAGACGATCAAAAGCTTCTTCATCATGGATGTAGTTCAAAACCGTTTGATACAACTTCTTGCCAAGAACCTTCAGATGCCCAAGGCTAAGTTAAGGAAAGTTCTAGAGAATTAGCTAATTGAAAAGTTCTAGGCGTGTAATTTGTGGTGGTTTTTTTTTCTTCATTCTTTGATAGTATTCATTATAAACACCATTTGCTGATATACTGAAAGAGAGATAAATAATGATGGAAGATGACGTCCTCTTGATCTTAACTTTTCTAAGCTTGAATAACCTGTTCTACTTTAAATAAATAATTTTTATTCTCATTCAAGTTACGGCCATACACAGTGAAAAGCGCCAGAACCCGTCCGATCTCCGAAGTTAAGCCACTGTGGGTCTATATACCATATAGACCGTTCAATAAATCACTTTCCATAGTAACTCCAAGCCAACCAACACACCTCTGGAAAAGTTGAATAATATGATTATATAATAATATAACGCGTATATCTTCACGTTTGTTCTGGAAGTCGATCCTGAAATCCATTAGCCTTGTAAAAGCGCTAGGAGCTTGTGGTTGTGATAAAGGTGCAGTAAAATCATATGGAAAAAGAGTAAACTTGAGATATATAAATCCCAATGTTTTGTTAATAATAGTTTTCCAACCCTTCGCGCACTGATACCAAGACTTACCCAAGGTCCAACTTCTGTTTTTCTAACTTCTACACGCACATTTTGGTGAATCTCAGATTCGTAAGGTGAAAATAAACCGCTTTCTAGTTAACCTCGTTTATTTGTACAAATATAAACATTTTACTTATACAATGTTGTGTGTTGTGTCATGTAAAGCAAACCACCATTGAAAAAACACGACATGCATTTTTTGCATTTTCGACAAATTTTATTTTTATTTCTCAATAAAATAAGTTCATGTATTTTCGTTAAAAAAGATAAGTTTAAGCAACATCTGATATTGATGTAAAATCACATGATATCAAAACAGTTTTATTGGCTAAATGTTCATTCACGTGAGTACTTTGGCCTAATTATTATTGTGATATTTTTTTCCCGAATTTATAAATAATAAACAAATCGTTAGTGATATAGATAAAAAATTTTACTTTAACTAACTATTGGCTGATGCTTTTAACATGAAATTCGAGCGCTTAAGCCTTAAGGTAACAAAGGATATTACACGAATAGCTTAGCATTTATTGACTTTTTGCTATACCTCGGATTGGGCACAACTGCAGAAATATACTTGAGTTTTCTTTTAACTAAAAAATTGTAAACTTAGTTTCTTTATTAAATATACTACCTATAATTAGGGATGGAAAAGGTTCAACGTTCCAATCGTTCCATACATCGGTTCCAAATCGGCTGACTTGGATCTGGACCGAAGTGACCCGGGTTTTCGGGTTTGATTCGATTTTTTCAATAGTATCGGTTCGGAACCGAACTGAACCAATCGAGTCGTCCCCATCCCTACCTCTAATACATTTTATGTAGTAAATAGTATGCAATGCAAGTGAAACTGAAGAAAGAAGCAACAACGAAAAATCATGTGAATTATTTAAATGAGATATTAAATTTTATTACTGTATTCAGCAATACTTGAAGAAATTTTTCGTTTCTCCGTCATAGTAACAAAATTAACGCAAGAAAGATGCAAGAATAATGAGAAAATTATAAACCTCTTGTATGTAAACGTATGATGTTTAGATACGTCATGTAGGAGCGAATTTATAAAATGCGAGATAATTCTACGCCGGAGTATTTAGATTAATTGAGATAAGAAAAGCTAAGAATAAAACAAAAAAGGACAAAAATTTCCTTACTATTATTTTTTATTTATTAATTGTTGTTTTTATAATATTACTTAAAAATAAATAAATTATTTTAAGCAAGATTATTCATCATGGAATTTTTTCTTAGTCCTCCCAATATCAATTTCGCAAATTATTCAGACAGAGCATGTTAAAACATCCGTGATCACAAATAACGAATGAACGTATAGTTGTAGTCCTGTAAAAAAAGTCGATCCGTTTTTTATATTCCGTCTTTTTTCCCGTAAAAGGTTCATATTTCCGGAATTAATAACCTTATATCCCGGAATTTAACGAATTATTTACATTTTCCGTGAATGGATCCGTGAAAGGCTCATTTTTACGGAGTTTTTACAGAAATAACGGATAAAATTTTTTATAGGGAGTATATAAATAATAAAGGTAGAATTTAAAACAATTGGCAAATCAGAGCGTACTTTAGTATCAAAAATTCAAAAATAACATTTATAAATTCACGTGACTATCAATTTATGTAGATTGGAACATTGGATATACTGAGGTATATCACACAAAACATCTCACTTCCCAATAAAAAAAAAAAAAAAAATATCAAAACATCTATCTTGCTTTTTTGGAAAGTTTTTTTAACTCTCCTTGTCAGTCACAGTGTTGGGTTTTGGACAGACTTTTAGGATTTGAAAAGTTTTGGACAAACTTCCCAACACTGTGACTCCTTGTAATAAGGAGTGTTAAAGATGTTATTGGTTTTCTTTTTCACTTGATCCTTTAACAATCAACATGGTATGTTGTTTTAAAACTTTAAGTGCTTCTTTTTAGGGTTTATTTAAAAATGATTTTATACGGTATATGTTCTAACTGTTTAATGGTTTTTTTTTCAATTCAGAATTTCTTTCGCACTTTTGGTAATTTGGTTTAGGGCGAGTTTTTGTTCCCTACTTTAACTATTTGGCAAAATCCCATTTCAATAATACAATTATACAACTTTTGATGTATTATCGTGGAAATTTTCAAATCAGTAGAATATTGTTAATATAGTAGTATTCATTTTAACAATGGCATAATCAACGTAATTAACGTAATAACGTAATCAACGTATTCTATTATGAAGAAATTTTATGGCATTCGAAATTATGGCCGGAAGATAGAATAGAAAAGATCCGATATTTAAATATTGTATTATTTATGTGTAATAGTGATTATTATAGTAATATTCAAAGAAATATTTTAGCACTAACACGAAATGATGAACCTACCAGCAAAGTAACTAAACATAATGGGAATTTGTATTGATTGGCAAATGGTTTAAACCTGTTGAAACTTTATAGTATCTTCAAAAAATTATTTTTACAAATTTTACAATCGCGGTAGTTTAATGAAGAATCTGTTAGGCGATAAAGATATTGATAGATAAAAATTGGAAATTTAAAATGACAAGAGTACCAAATGATGGATTTACTTTTAGGATTTTTAAACAATTAAAAATAATATTAAAACAGCGCCCATTACTAATGGGCACTAAAATGAAATCGAACAAATGTCCACTCTTAATGAGCACCAGTACTTTTACTTTTCTTCTCATATTTTTATAAATTTCACCTTTAACAATTAACATGGGGTATGTTATTTTGATATTTTAAATAATTCTTTTTATTTTTTTTTTTAAAGAAATAAGATATTTTTATTCTAAATATTTGTTTTTTTCTATACATACAGAACTGACGTATCTGGCAAGATCAAGTTACTCTTTCTCATACGATATTTCTTTAATAAGGGACGTAACTAACGTAACCTATTACGAAGAAATATTATATTTTTATATATATTGAAATGGAAAAAAATATTACATCATTTTAAGAAATTATAACAAGAGGATATATATTTATTTCTTGGATCTTACGAAGAATTTCTTGGTTGGAGAGAAATTGTTGATCTCTTGGGTCAATTTCGTCAGGAATATATAAAATTCATAAACTTAATCTCATTCATGGTATGTTTCGTTTAGTTACGAAACTTTTTGTTTTTTGTTATTTTTTTATTGAAACATATTCCTTTTTGTAGGCAGGTGTTTGGAATATCGGATCGATCGGATATAACTGAACATGATGGAATCATGTTGTAGTTTCATGACAGTTCGGCGGTTTTTGCATAAGTAAAGATGAACTAGATCTTCGCAATTCAAAAAGCACGAACGGCAGGTGAGATAAAAAAAACCATCAAATAATAGTGGCTTGTGAACAGAATAAATATATTGGTATTGATTTGCTGAATGATTGAATTGATTATTGTTGTCAAATCATCAAAGCCACATCGAATCGCGTGAAAAATTGGTAATCAAAACAACAGTTTTGTATGAAGGTTTACTCAAGTATCGATCTAATAACCGGCGGTATCGGATCGATAACTATATAAAGGCACGAATATAATTCTTCTCGTAATATTCCACAAATATTACCTTCTCATGGGAAAAATAATAAATACTACAACAAATAAAGACCTCCTGAAAATATTATACCATCAATTATTAAGAATTTTAATCATCCTACAAACCAGCAAAAGGAAAGGCGAAGGCGAACTGAAATTCTTATATCCATATCAGACATTTCTTATATGAAAGATTTCATAAGAATCCATCGTTGTCTACCACTTGATTTGGTATCGACGTAAAGTATACCAACAAATAAAGGCCTCCTGAAAATATTATACCATCAATTATTAAGAATTTTAATCATCATACAAACCAGCAAAAAAAAGGAATGGCCGACTGAAATTTTTATATCATATCAGACATTTCTTATATGAGAGGTTTCATAAGAATCCATCATTGTCTACCACTTGATTTGGTATCGACTTAAAGATTGTTGTGTGTTTGACTAATAATTGGAGTTGAAGAACATCATAGAATTGGAGGTATACTTGTTCTATTTGCTTAATGGTAAGCATTTTTACTTGACTTTTGCTTTGTAATTATTATATTGGAAGAATGTTATATTAATTTATTATTTTAATTTCAACATGAATCAGGGGCTTTGATAGGAATGGGTTTAACTGGTTTAGACGTAGACTTAATGGTCATACTTTTAGGTTCTACTTTTTTTTCGAACGGCCTGAATGGAAACTTTACCATCTTATATCAATTCAGTTGAAAATAAAAGAGCATGTTTCAAAAGAAGAATGTTATCTTTTAATGCATTAATATTATTTATCATGTTAGAGAATCAGTAATTTTAAATTAATAGTGATATTTTAATATTAATAGATAACGAAAAAACATTATTTTGAACGTTTATTTTGGATAGTTTGTTAGTTTTTGACGAATCTCAGCGTAACTATCAAAATTATGAATCAGTATTGTGGTGTAATACACAATTAGAAAAAATAAGCTTTACAGCGGATGTATATGATCCCAAAGTTGATGTTGTTTCTACCCGCGAAGTTGTAGATCCCAATGGAGACGAATTATTAAGGATTTATATAGCACTAGCACAAATATTTTTGTCCAATTTTCTTTACCCAATTTTCTTACTTTATCCTAATTCTCTTATCTTAATTACTTTACTTAATTCCCTTAAGTTAATTTCTTTCTCTTACTTAATGTATGAGAAAATTGCATTGCAAGGTTCACTATCTTCTGATTGATTTATACTGATTGTCAGGACGATGTGAAAGATTAAGCTACGCCAATGAAGTTGTGGATTTTATATATAGACAACCGATCATTTTCTTTTTATTAAGGAGGTTAATTGACGTAATTTAATAAAAAATTTAGTGTTTAATATTTTTCGATTAGAACTATCCCTTAAGGTAGATGATTAGCGTTCATTTAACTAATTGTTTATTTATTTATATTTAATAATTTATAATTTTAACCTATTTATTCCAAATAGATTATGCATTATTTCATCATCTTGCTGGAAATGTATGCACGTTCAAGGAATAAAGCGAAATTCGCGAGGTGGAATATATGGGTGATAATCTAATTATTAATATCTGTAACGATTAGGTTGATCCAAATTTTTAAAAAAGATGTAATTCTTGTATTAGCATACCAATACGTTTCAATAATTTGTATGTCGCCGTTGCCAAAAAAGTCTTTGTTAATAATAAGGTTTATTGGATAATAAAAAATTTTTTATAATACATCAGATATGCATATGATTTGTTATTTTAAACGCATTATTTATTATTAACTAGGAATATAAAAGCACATTATCTATACGTATTTCAAGGTCCAAATGGACTGATTTATTGAATTAGTATATCTATAAAGTCTCATGTTTAGTCGCATGTTAACCGAAGGTATATACGCGCGCGCATTCGTTCAATAGAATTGTTAAGTTCGTTGCACTTCAGACTAACATTGGCGTACAACGCAATATTTATTACGTGAAATAATACTCTTTTCATGATAATAAATAAATAAAAGGCAAATTCCAAAATTTTTTCGTCTCATGTCCTTTTTTCTTAAATGAATGTCTCAATAAAAAAAATTACTTTTTCTAATATTTAAGTGATTAGATAAAAAATCCCTCTCAACATCTTTTATTTAATTGCATTAATTTCTGGAAAAATTTGGATTTATAATTTAATTTCTATAAAAATTGAAAATTCCAATCTTACAGTATTATAAAAAACAAGGTATTAAAGTTAATAAAAATCCAAAGCTTATTCATTTTTCTATCCCAAGTTATTATTTTTTTTTGATTATCAATTACACCATATTCCATATGTTGAATACTTTCATTGTTGTGTCACCACCATTATTTTAAATAAAATTTATTAATTGAAGCACAAATGATGCAGAAAACTATCCAATATTTAAGAATGAACGAGATTCAAGGTGAATGACTTATAATTATATTATTATAATGTACATTCTTATTATCCGTCTACATGCAACTATCGTTCACGTTATAAATTTGGATTTATAATTATTTTATATTGTTACGTTTTATTTATTGAATAAGGATGGATTAATTTGGGAGCGCGAAGTAATTCTACTTTATAACGAAAAAAAAAAAATTAATAAATTGAGTTATTGGATAATATTATATAATTATGTGAGATAATAAGATCCTCAATTATTGGTTTTTATTACCTTGAAGTTCTAAAAATTGACAAATTATACGTAACATTCAAAAGAATTCAAATAACATTTGTAAAATTGATTTGTTTATTAATAAAATATAAAAATTTATTTATTCAATACATGTAAAGAAACTTGACATAGAGCATATTCAAGAATTAATAAATAGGTTGAATCTAATAAATTTTCACACGAGAACATATAAAAAGAAATAATAATTTACTATAACATCTTTGAAACTAAAAGAAAATTTATAAAAAGAAATAACAATTTACTATAACATCTTTGAAACTAAAAGAACATTTATAAAAGAAATAACAATTTACTATAACATCTTTGAAATTAAAAGAAAACATAAAAAGAAATAACAATTTATTATAACATCTTTGAAACCAAAAGAAAACTATTATTAAACTAATTAAATCCATTGATAATGATATTCTTCATCGGAATCCTCATAATTAAATGGAATAATTTGATCATTGTAATCGTTAAAAAACATATTTGATGTTTCGAAAATAGAAGATGGAGAGGGAAAAGGAAGTTGACGAGAAATAGATGGGGAAATTGAAGGAAGTTGGTTATATGCAGTTGAATTAATATTTGCAGTTGAATTAATATATGTAGTTGAATTAATTAAAGTCGAATTTCTTAATAAATGGATTTCACAAACACGGTTGGCTATGTTTTTATATACGGTCCTTTCACCAGAGGTCGCACTTCTCCACAAAATACTGGTTGCCTTGCTTATAATACGCATGTTATGAGCGCCTTTTGTTTTCGCTTCCTTGCAGACATTTTGTCTGCATATAATAAATGAATTAACAGGTTTTTTTGGTTTTGATCCCATTGGAGGAACGAAGGATTCAGGTTCATTAAACAATGGGGGGAAGATGTTTTTTCTATTTAATCTTAGAACTAGAGACTTTGCTAAGGTTTCAATTTCGTCCATTTTAGCAATATTGAAAGGTTTTTTTTTCTAGATATTGGGAAAAATTAAAGAGAAAAGTTTGTTTTTTTTTTTTTGAAAAAAGACATGTAATAAATTTAGGCGTTTATATATCTATTTTTCATAATAAAATGATTTTATCATTACATCAAAAGCAACTAACCCCTATTTACTGTGTTCTGAAAGAAATTTGGCTTTATGGCATAATAAAGATTTTAATTAAGTAATTAATCAAAGGTAACTATCAATCAATCTATATATGTATGTATATTTGGAAATTTTCCGTATAAATCATATATTGGAAATTACTCTTTAATGTTAAATCATTTTGTTCCCTGTATGGTTGGTTCAAAATCTATTGTTATTAAATTGTACCACCGCTTTTATGGGATAATAAAGAATTATTAAGTGACATAAGAATTAGTAGTATATTGTGATGGAAAAGTAGTTCTATGAATTGCGCATAATAATATGATCATCGAGGGCGTATTCCTTTTTGTTAGTTGTAAAAGGAATAACCAATAGAAAAATTTTTATTTATTTACCTTGATTATGGTTTTATTAATACTAACTATAAAAAGTATATCATCACTCCCAATGTATGTTTCTGTCCATTGTCTAGATTTTTTGTATAATAAATGACACTATCTTTTATCAAATGAAAAATAGTCAATATGAACAAATTTAGTAAATATTCCTTTAATCTTTTCAAATCATTATTTTTTAAAAAAATAGAATTTGAAATTGTATTATGCAATCATACATATATAAATCGGGATTTATATAATAACATCTAATACTACGTGCACAGATTATACTAATTCATTGGTTGTTTTTTATATACAGATAACGAAATTGTATTTATATTACATGTTCAATAGTAATCACTATTATTTATTTTGTCACATAGTTATTTCATAATTATCTTCATGAATTCGGTTCGAAACTTTGCACCTCATCCACCCGATCGACAAAGAATCTAACCGATAGAACTTAAGGCATGAAGTGTAAGGTTCTTTGTCGATCGAGTGGATGGGGAAATCTAAAATAAAGTCACATGAAAAATATCGAAAAATCGAATTTTTTTCTTATTGGAAATTCTAATTTGAAACGCATCGATAAATAAACAAATATTAATGATATATAATAAAAATTACAATAAATTTATTAACTGTTAATAAAATTATGAAAACAATAAAATTAATAAAATTACTAAAAACTGCATTTAAAATTCTTTAATTAGATGATTTTTTTATAAAATTTCATGTACGTGAATCGGTCCTCGCGGAATGAAATACAAATTCGTTTAATAATGCCTTAACAAAATTTGCAGATCCTTTGGCCAAACCAACATAATCTTGGCCAGGTATCATATCACGTGAATCACGCGATTTCCTTTTTCGCGTTTGAACGATAGAAGGAAGGGAGGTTCAATATGTTTATTCTAGGCATCTAAATGAATACGCTAAAAAAAATGCTGTATAACAATGTGATCATCGAGGGCGTATTTCATGAGACTTTTTTAAGATATGAATTTCTGTAAAAGGAACGATTTAAAAGTAATTTAAAAAAAAATTATTCATTATAAAATATATTGATTATTTTAATCTAATCATGGAATAATTGTTTACAAACATATGTGAAACATAAAAGTGAACGAATAATATTGTTAAAATTGTTACATGATCTTAAAAAATTTTTTTACAATAAATTTATTATGTAAACAAAAGCATCAAAATTTTTAATAGGTTAATTAATTTTACTTGATTCTAACTCTAATAGGTTTTAAATAATATTTTATTAATAATATTAAAAAGTAATTATTTTCATTTTTAAGAACTTCGATGTATGTTGGCGTTTCAGAATTGGTCATCTGTTATCTTTTGTTTATGATAATTTTTTTTTTTTTTTTTAAAAAAAAAAAAAAAAAAAGAAAAATAAATAAAGAACCTAAATGAGGCATCTTATCAAAGAAAAACAGTCAATGTGAACAAATTAAACAAATTATTATTTTTTTTTTTCCTCAAATAAAAAAAAAAATTCTTTTCTTTTTTAAAAAAAAAAATTATATCACGCAATTTTAACTATTTTATCATAGTAATATATATAATATATAATATATACTATATAAATTTTTTTGTAGATCGGTAATCAGCTGGAGTTACGGACATTAAAGATTTATCATTTATATGTAGATCATAATTTGTTATTGTGGTGTAATAATTCTGTATAATTCAAAATATTAAAATATTATGAAAATTTTGTTAAATTGGATCATTTAATTTATGTTAACAAAAAAAAATCTTTTTTTAGAAAAAAAACTTCAAATTTCTAAAATAATTGTAATTGGTTGCTGATAATTATTACAGTTCAAGACCAAACCTTCGATACATAGATGATTCCACTTACAGGATAACTTTGCCCATTAAAGTTAAGTTCAGCGAATCAAATTATTTAGGATTTTTTTTTCGTACTCGTACTTTATCATGCATCTTTTTGTATAGCATAAAGACATTTTTTTTTTAATTTATATTTTTGGGAATATTAATTAACTAAATGTGAACCTTCCGTGAACCGTATTCGGAATTTTAATCCGAAGTTCTTTGTTTCATAAATTTAACAAAAGCAAACTGAAAATTGGTATACAAATTTTTAATATAAAACAATAACATATTTATTCATAAAAGGAAAAACATGATCTTTTTTTATGTAATAATATGTAACATACATTTATTGGTCTTGATATTTTGATTCGACAATTACGTTAATGTTATATTTTAATTATTCAAAATTATGAAACATTTCCTTTTTTACGCCCAAATTAAACCATGTGATTGTCAAATTTTTTTTCTTATAAGGAGGGTCAGAAAAATTCCTTGGAAATGGCAGAAAAATTCACTTTTTCTTTACAAAAAAAAAAAAAAATAAAAAAAATATCAAAAAATTAAATATGCGCATTTATTCAAAAATTCATTCTTATAATTCCTCCTTAGTTCATTTCTCAATACTTGTCATTTCTCATTTTAATCTTAACAAATTCTTTCGCACAATTCATTCATTTCAGTTCATCTCAAAAATAATTAATTCCTACATTAATTTTATATTATCATTTTTTTACATAACGAGAGAAAGTATTCATATAACTGATGATATTACATTTGCTCTCTTTGGAATTCATAAGAAGGGAGTAATCCATAAAAATTTACATTTACAATAATAATCAAAATCAAATACACGCATTCGTCATAAATTGTTCATTCCTTCAATTCCCATTCCTTTTACTTTAATCTTAATCATGCCTCTAGCATAATGCTGAGCCATTCTTAAACAATGGAAACAAGAAAGTGACACAAGCTGGTTTCCAATTATGTAAATTATTGTAAATAGCTTAAACAATGGAAGCAACAAACCGATGCAAAGAGGCTAAATTGCTGGTTTTCGACTATGTTTCCTATTGTAGATAGCTTAAACCAATGGAAGCAACAATCGGGGCTGGTTTCCAATTATATAGGCTATTGAACTATCTAAACAGAAAGGATGCAGTTGTGGAATGGGGAATAGAACAGTTAAGAGTGAATAGCAAAAGGTGGAGAAATGATCTCTTAAATTAGTTAATAATCGAATAGTAGAAGGGGAAAATACTTTATCAGACTATAAAACCTAATTCGTTTATCTTTAATTCATTATCTTATAAATAATCATTTTTCTAGTTTTTCTCAAAAATTTTTTATAAGGTCCACTTACCCTAATCCTCTTACTCATTAAAAATAAGAATAGTAAAAAGTTTTCCACAACTTCTTTATCTGATATTGGATAAATTACCATTACTTCTTAATCCGATATTGGAAAATATTTGTAGAGCTCATTATTTTGACTACTTCAGTTCTTTCCAATATACTTCAAGTTCTTATAAATCAAAAATATATTTCTCAAAATTATCCGAATCTGTCACATACCTTATAAACAATTTTCAGAAAAATGATCATTTATCGGAGTTTTTCCAGAATTTTTGACGGGTGACGGGTCGATATTTTTCTATATCTATATTGAGTACCTCAACAACACTTGACCTTCTATAGAAATCGATCCATATGAGTTACTACCGACAAATAAAGAACGAAAATTTATATTTGTACATACTATGAACAAAGAAATGCAATAAAAATTATCTTACATTAATGTACACTTTCCCGAATGGCCATTTTGCCGAAGGACATTTCGCTGAAGCCATTTCTGCGAAGGGACTTTTCGTCAAAGATATGGATTTAGTATTTAAATATTTTCGTCTATTTGGATTATTATAATTATTTTTAAATCAAATATAATAAAATTTAATTTTTGCGTATTCATTCATTATTTAAAATTTAATAAATCTAGAAAGATTAAAAAATTGTTCAAGTTTTAAATTTATCTTTCCAAGTTAATAAGTATTTTTTTTATTCATTCAAATAAAAATAATAAATTTGATCCGTGATACACCTCGAATTACCACCAGTAAACATAATTTCACATCAATTATATATATAAAACTAAACAAATAATTAAAATAAAAAAAAATGTTCATTCTATGCAGACGAAAAAAACTCGATTACGATTTCGTTCTGTAATACGAGTAAACGAGATTTTTATAAAATATTAGGTCAATAGTCAATGCGGTTCAAATTTAGGTAAGTTGTCTTTACTTTCTTATATTAAAAAAAATTGTTCTTTTAAAGATTTAGAATTTTAGAAGTTTTATCATGAAGTATTTAAATTTTTTTTTTTTCGCTATATGGGCGGACTTATAGCAAAAGGTGGGGCTCGGACAATCACGTGATTTCGAAAAAAATCGAACTTTAATATTATTGGTTAATTTAATAAATTATAATTTATTCCATCATTTTTAAAGATTTTTAAAATCAATTTTTTGCAAACTAGGGTAAATTTTTGCAAGGAATTCATTAAAAGCATTAGTTTTTTTCTAAAGCATCTATATTATTTGTTAAATGCAATAATAGAAAAATACAAAATTTGCAAATTCTTAAATAAAAAATTTTTTTATTAATATATTATAAACAAAAATTTTTTTTTTCTGAAAGGTTAAATAAAGTTATATATAATTAAAATAAAATTTCAAAAAAAAAATTTTGGCCAAGCCCCCCCTTTTGCTACAAGTCCGCCCATATATATGAATTATTGAAAATCTCAGCCTAAGGCTAAATTTGGAACCACATTTTATTTTGCCACAATACTTTTATATTTAATTATTGATAACCTAATTATTAAACAAAACAATTAAATATTATTTTTAGAACATTTATAGCTTGAGATAAGGCTTCAAAGTTAATGTGATATCACATTTATTATGATCGGCAAATGATCAACATGTGATATAGGGTATGTCCGTCCTGTTGATTTAAAGTTTACCTTACATAATTAAATATATTTATTAAATATAATATAAATATAAAATATTTTTTTTGTAAAATTTGTTTATTAATTACTTGTTATGCTACATATTAATTTAACATATGTGCCGATTTTTGGAATTAGTCTAAATTAAG